TTTCTTTATCTGCTATTTTGGTTTTTATTTATAGTTCTTTTGGTTAGCCATCACATAGTAATCTTGCTAGGAGATTCAGTTCACAGATGAATATTAATTTTTATACCATTCATTAAAACCAAATGACCTAGTACCTAGAAAGACAGGTGCAGGAGTCAGAAATACTATATTCCAGCCCTTGATGCTGCTGTCATCCACAAGCTCTTTTGATCTTGGATGTGTCAGTTTGCCTCTAAGGTTTTGGATTGTTTGTCTGGAGAGTGCATACTTTTAATTTCTTAAGTTCTGTAATTCAAAAGCATTATCTTGGAGGAAAGGGATTAAGTGAATAATGTTTGTGCCCATTTCTTGGTGTGTTGGTAATTTTGTTAAGAGGCAGTGCTTGAATATAATTTTGCCTCTTTTAGATACCGCGTATAAGTGGAATCATACAATATTTGTCCTTCTGAATCTGGCTTATTTTACTTGGTGTAATGTTTTCTACTTTCATGCATCTTTTAGCATGTAACAGAACTTCATTACCTTTTATTGGCTGAATAATATCCCATGTACGTACCACATTTTGTTTATCTGTCATCTATTGATGAAAATTGGGTTCTTTCCACATTTTAGCTGTTGTGAATAACACTGCACAGATACCTGTTTGAGTCCCTGCTTTAAATTCTTTCAGGTATATATATACCTAGGAATTACTAGGTCACGTGCTAATTATATTTTTAACATTTTGAGGAGCGCAAACTTCCCACAGTGGCTGTATCATTTCTTCATATTCCCACTAGCAGTGCAGAAGGATTGAAATTTTTCCACATCCTTACTAACACTGTTTTATGCGTTTGATAAAAGCTGTTTTAATATTTGTAACGTGGTATCTTACTATCATTTGGGGTTTTATTTTCCCAGTGACTAATGATGTTGAGCATCTTGCCATGTGCTTCCTTGCCATTTGTGCATCTTCTTTGGAGAAATAGCTATTCAAGTCTGTGTCCATTTTTTTAACTGGTTTGTTTTGTAGTTGTTCAGTTATAGTTCTCTGTATATTCTGGATATTAGTCCCTTATCTGATATGATTTGGAAATTCTCCCCATTTTGTGGGTTGTCTTTTTACTCTCTTCAAGTGTCCTTTGAGACACAAAAGCTTTTTATCTTAATGAAGCCCAGTATATCTGATTTTTCTGTTGTTGCCTGTGCTTTTGGTGTCATACTTAATAAATCATTGCCAAATCCAAGGTTATGAAGCTTTCCCCTGTCTTCTTCAAAGAGTTTTATAGTATTGTATTAGCTTTTAAACTTAGCACTTTGATCCATTCTGAGGTAATTTTTTTTAAATGATATAAGGTAAGGGTCCAACTTCATTCTTTCTTATGTGGACATCCAGTTTTCCCTGCACCATTTGTTGAAAAGACTCTTCTATCCCCATTGAAAGGTTTTGGCACCCTTGTCAAAAACCAGTTGACCACATATGCAAAAATTTGTTTCTTGACTATTCCATTAATATCTTTCTTTATGCCAGTACCACACTGTTTTGATTACTATAGCTTTGTAGTAAGATTTGAAATGAGATGTGTGAGCTCTAAAATGTTACTGTTTTTCAATACTGTTTTGGGTATTCAGTGTAACTGGAAATTTCATAGCAGTTTTAGGTTGAAGTTTTCTGTTTCTCCAAATGCCATTGGGATTTTGATAGAGAATACACTGAATCTATATATTTGGTAGTATTGTCATCTTAACAGTATTAAGCCTTCCAATTCATGAACATATGATGATGTTTTATTTATTTAAGTCTTTAATTTATTTCAGCAACTTGTCATAGTTTTCAGTGTGTAAATCATCCTCCTACTTGGTTAAAAGTATTTTATTCTTTTTGATGCCATTATAAATGGAATTTTCTTAATTTCCCTTTCAGATTGTTTATTCCTAATGTATAGACAGCCAACCGTTTTTGAGCGTTAATTTTGTATCCTGTATATTTGTTGATTAGATCTAACAGGGTTGGTGTGTGTGTGTGTGTATTTAGGATTTTCTGCATATAAGATCTTATCATCTACAGACACAGTTTTACTTCTCCTTTCTAGTTTGGATGTCTTTTATTACTATTTCTTGCCTAATTGCTCTGGCTAGAACTTCCATATATGTGTTGAATAGAACTGACCAAAGTGGACAGCCTTGTCTTATTCCTGATCTTATGGGAAGATTTTCAGTCCTTCACCATTGTGATGTAAGCTGTGTGCTTTTCACATACAGCCTTTGTAATATTGAGGAAATTGCTTTTTCCATTTTTAATTTAATGAATGTTTTTATCATGAAAGAGTGTTGGATTTTGTGAGATGCTTTCTATCAGTTGAGGTGATTGTGTGTGTGTGTGTGTGTGTGTGTGTTCTTTCTATTGTGCTGTATTACACTGATTTTCTTAGGTTGAACAACAGGAAAAAGTCCTGCTTGGTCAAAGTATATATTGCTGACAAGTTGAATTTGCTGGTCTTTTGTTGTAGATTTTTGTTTATGCATTTTTATAAGGGATATTGGCCTATTGTATTGTTTTCTTGTACTGTCTTTGTTTTGGTATCAGAGTAGTACTGGCCTCTCAGAATGAGCTAGGAAGTGTTCCCTTCTCTTCTGTTTTCAGAAGAGTTGAGAATTTGGATGTTTGGTAGAATTCACCAGTGAAGCCATCTGTTCCTCACATTTTCTTTATTGTGAATTTTTTGATTCTTGATTACATCTGATTACTTATAGGTTTATTCATATTTTCTATTTCTTCTTGAGTGCATTTTGGTAGTTTATGTGTTTCTAGGTTTTCCAAATGCTGATGTGCCATTGTTTATAGTATTGTCTTAGATTCCTTTTATTTCTGTTGATTTTAGTTTTTTTTTAAGAATTGTGTTTTCTCTTTTTTTTAGTCAGTCTAGATAAAGGTTTGTTAATTTTGTTGACCTTTTCAAAGAACCAGGTTTCGGATTCATTGATTTCTGTTACCACATTTTAGATGTTTTTCAGTCTTATAGGTGAGAAATGTTAATTCAGTCTTAATTGCAGTTCTCTTGTGAGCAAGGTTTAGCTTTTCATGTGTTTTTTTTCTAGTCTCTGTTTCATCTCCACTCATTATTTCCTTGTTCTGCCAGCTTTGGTTTTAGTTTGCTTTGCTTTTCCTATTTTTAAGGTGGTGGCTTAGGTTATTGATTTGAGATCATTCTTTTTTAACATAAGTAATTATAGCTATAAATTTACCTCCTTGAACTGATTTCATTGCATCTAGTAAGTTTTGGTATGTTGTATTTTGTTTTCCTTCATCTCAACGTATTTTCTAATTTTCCTAGTGCTTTAGTCTTTGATGCATAACTAAGAACATGTGTTGTTTAATTTTCACAAAGGCCTGGGGTCAGCCAAGTTTCCAGAGTCCCCGTACTCCTTTTATGGGAAAGTGATGTTTTGCAGTCCACTGGCTGGGTACAAGGAGTGCTCATGGTTACTGGCTTGGTCATTGTCTCCAAGTCTTTTCACTGGACAGAGCTATGAAATGTGTGTGTGGTTGGTTGGTTGGGTTTTTTTTTTTTTTTTAGCAAAAATATATTGTGAGTCTGTACTGATGCTTCCAATTTAAATTCAGGTTATACAGTTTTTACTATGTCAGTCTCAACATTTGGGTCTCCTTTCTCCCATGTGAAAACCTCAGATCTCAGTGGCCCCAATATGATTATTGATTTGCTGTATCTCATAATCACACACAAAAATATCAGAATAACAATACTAATAGCAATATAATTTTGAAAAATTAAGAAAATTTCTTGGCCTACTTTGTTTTGTGCTTCATTCCTAAGGAATATTCATAACTGATTTTGTTATGGTTCCAGGTCACTTAGGATTTCTGTTATATTTCTAATTAGATACACATTTGAGTTCATTCTGCTTTTTACTTTTACAAATGTTTACATTTTTTATTTTCAGTAGGTGTGTGTTTAAAAGTAAAATATCGAAAACAGTATATTAAATACATACACATATCTGTGCGTGTACAAGTATCTCTTCATATCCCTACCTGGCTTAGTTAAGTGCTTATTACTGTATTTGTATTCCTCTTCTCCTTCCTTGCCTTGCCTTTTTTATTACTATGTTATTATTACTCTTTTTTACAATAGCATTATTCTGGAAATCACTCCATAATATTCAGAGCAACTCCTCAGTTCTTTTTACATCTGCATAATAACCCAATTGTGGATGTACTGTGTGTGGTATATTCAATCATTGATAGATTGTTGGGTCATTTTGTGGTGTGTGTGTTGGGGATCATTTTCTTGCCTGTCCTTCTTAAAGTTAGTGTCAGTGAATAACCATGGGCATCCTTTTTTTTTAGAACCTCTCTTCAGTCAGTGTATATTTGGGAAAGATTCCTTAAAGTAAAATTGATGAGAACATGGTAAATGCATGTATGATTTTGGAAGATATTGCTAAATTTCCCTTTTTAGGGGTTGTGATATTTTGCATCCCCATCAACAATGTATCAGAGTGCCTGTTTTGCCACAACAGCCTTATCAACAGACTATGTTATCACATTCTTGGACTTTTTTCCAGTCTTATAAGTGAGGAATGTTAATTCAGTCTTAATTGCAGTTCTCTGGTGAGCAAGGTTTAGCTTTTCATATGTTTAAGAGCCATTTACCTTTCTTTTTCTGTGAACTTTGTTCATTTCTCTAACACATCTTTATATAGGACTGTCAGGCTTTCTCATCTCTTTTAGAATTTATTAGGAATATTAGCCCTCTTGTCTTTTTGACAAGTTGCAGTTTCACTATTTTGACTTTGGTAGTTTTATCTTGCTGATTATGGTATTTTCTGTGCAGAAGTTTAATGGAGTTTTTTTTTTTTTTAAGTAAAGCTATCAGTCCTTTTGCTCTGCTGATGATGTAATGCAGTCATGTAAAATATGTTCAAAATGTAAATTAAATATATTTGTGAAAATATACACTTAATCCTTTGTTATTATAATGTGCTCCTCTTGTTTCTAGGCAAGGATAAAAGCCATCAATACATTTTTTGCTAAGAATGGTTATCGATTAATGGATTCTGGTCTGTACAGTCAGCCCATTCAAACTCAGGCACAGTATGCCTCACCAGTCTTTATGCAGCCTGTATATAATCCTCACCAACAGTACTCAGTCTATAGTATTGTGCCTCAGTCTTGGTCTCCAAATCCTGCACCTTACTTTGAAACACCACTGGTAAGTGAGGAGATCCTTAAAAAATAATAAAAATTTTTACTGAAACTGAAATGTGAATAAATCAGCTAGAGTAGGAGTTCATTTTTTGTTTTCTTTTGCACAGTTCTTGGGTACTTTTTGGCTTTTATAGTAATAAGAATATCTATTCCCCCATACCAAATATGTGCATAAGACTAAGGGTTGAGCTATTAGTTCCTATAGTTTTATTCTTCAGATTTTGCTGAGTGAATTAAAATAACAGACTGAATAAATCCTGAATAATTTGAAATGCTTTTAGTTTGTGAAACTTTTTCAGAGAGGAATGTTCTTTATTAAGTAATGAACTAGTGCTAGTGAGTTTTAGTTCTGTAAATCAACTGATACTTAAAGTAAATTTTATAAAAGTGAATAAGTAAAATGTTTTAAAAATATTTTTCATTTGTAAAAAAAAAAAAATTAATGTCCGATTTGTTCATCAGAAGTGTCATATGAACTTCACACCAGATTTTGCCTCTACAGTTAATTGTTTTTAAACATTAACATTTTCTTTTAGGCTCCCTTTCCCAATGGTAGTTTTGTGAATGGCTTTAATTCACCAGGATCTTATAAAACAAATGCTGCTGCTGTGAATATGGGTCGACCATTCCCAAAAAATCGGTAAGACAAAAATCATAGTTGGAATTGATTGTAAACAGTTCCCAATAGTTTAAAGAGTTACTGTGTTAAAAACAATGCTTATTGTAAATTCAATAAGCTCAGCTTTTATTGTGTGTACAAAAATTATATAAACAATTTAATCTAGAATTTATAAATACATTTTGACTTCAGAGTTAATAAGTATAAAAAGGACTTGGAACTGAGGTTATACACATTACTTACTGATTTTTCTTTTTTCTTTTTTTTTTTAATTGAAGAATAGTTGACATACAATTTTACATTCATTTCAAGTATACAACATAGTGATTCGATGATTATATATGTATATAATTGTAAAATGCTCACCGTAGTAAGTGTAGTTACCATCTGTCACCATATAAAATTATTACAATAGTACTGACTATTTCTTATGCTGTACTTTCATCCTGTGACTTACTTATTTTATAATTAGAACTTTGTAGCACTCTCCCCTAGTTAATAATAATAATAATAATAATAATAATAATCTTTAATAACAGAATAAGAAAAATGTTTTATGGCAGCAACATAAAATCCGGTGTCAGTGTCATTTAGTGTGTTAAAAAGTGGTGACATTTTGAAGAGTGGGAGTTTTTTGGATTTTTTTTTTAAGGATGGAAATGTTAACTGATTTGAGTTATTTAGGATTTTTGAGAATTGACTTTTGACATGAATTCCATGAACTACGTGTACAACAGCTACCAGCTAACAGATGTTAAGCAGTTAGTGTCTAAATGTCTGTTTTTTAGGCTTTACATGTTTTATCCCAGTTTTCATAACCCTATAAGATAGTTGTTTTATTTAAAGATAGGGAAATTGGGACTTAAAAGATTAAAAATATCATGTCTGTGAACATGTAGTTAGTGACTGGCAGAGCCAACATTTGAACCCAAGCAATTTACCTCCAAAGCCTACACTTAAAACACATTATGAATAAATTGTTGAGAACTCTGGAAACTATTTGCTGTCAGAATAATAGATGGATAAGTCTCTATAGATCCTTTATATAAATGTCAACTGATAATCTCAATAATTTGATGTATGTTATGGCTTTTGACAGAGTATGAATAACCAAAGGGAAAAGGGCCCATATAGTGGTTTAGATTTATTTCATAGTTTCACATTTATTATTTCTTGCTTGTGTGAGTCTCGTGGGTTTTCTTTCTTTTTTCTTTTTTTATTTCTTTTCAGTGATTTTCTCTTGCCAGATCTCGTTCTCCCAGTTGATTCTTTTTGGCAAGGAGACCACATTGGGTATGTTTTTCCAGATGACTTCTAAGAACTTAATTTTTTTTGGTAAGGTTTTCCTGAAACATGCTTCACTGGAGAAAGAAGCCTCAGAGTATTACAGCCGTACATTATTAAAAATATTTCTCAGTGGATTCTGAAAGCATTCATATGTACCATCCTCTAATAGTCACAGTTTTTTTACTCACTTTAACTTATACAATTAGTTAAACCATTTAAAGATCATTTTTAAGTATTAAGATAACTTTACTACATATCACATTCTTATTGCTTTATGAAGTTTTAAGCAAGATCTCTTCATATTGTAAGAATGAAAAATTCTTCATGAAAGATTATTTGTGCTTTCATAAATGGTTCTTAGTTTGGTAATATAGTAACAATTAACTGCAAAGTTCAAGTATTGCCTAGGACATAGGGGTTAGAAGTACAGTGTCTTCTCACTTCCTTTTATTAAAGAATGATTTAATTTCCATGAGCACACAGAGACAGTAATGGTTAATTCTGGGAAGACCTTTGTTATGTAGTTCTAACTCATTCTACAAACGAAGAAAGTAAAAGCTGAAGAGCACAAATTAACCTGCTAGGTGTACAGAGCTAGTTAGATTTGCTTTTTAGATTTACTGAGATTAGAAGATTTACTTTTTCTCTCCCATAAGTGGCAGTTTTTTCTTAAAAATAATTCAGTTAGAGCAAATGACAGTTTACACCTTATTTTGTGAGAAGATAGTGATTTCTCATGATTGGAAATAGTAGCTTTGTAAAATACATATCTAATATCACATTTCTTGATGGGGTGAATTTTGCTTTAAACATTTCAGTAAAATAGACATCTTTAAGGTAGACTAACAGCAGTTTTTAACTGTAGTAATTAAAGTCCTGTTTTTTGCAGATGCTTGACTTAAAAATATAGTAAGAACTTTTGTGGTGTTCCATTGTTATCATTTGTTTTTGTCTGCTGTGATTTTTTGGTGAAAGGGGTGAAATTACAGTAAGAAAACCAAGAATGGCAGTCAAGTCATCCTTGCTTACAAGGAAGTGTACCAGTGGTTTTGAAGATACAGCGCAGGTTTAGTATAATTTTGCCTGGTATTAAAAAGTATTTGTGTATAATTATTTACCATATTTTTAACTGATACAGGTTGTTAATTTTCAATTAAAGAAATAACATGAATGCTTTCTTCTTACAAAAATGTAGATATTACAGATGAAACTAGAGCTTTTTGACTACCAACCCAAAACCTTGTTATATTCTTTCTTCTAAGGGATCACTGCCAGACCTTTATTTTTGTTTGTTTATTTTATGAGTTAAGGAGAAAGTAACTTTTAGAACCTTTTTGCAGTTTATTATATTAAGCTTGTAACAGCCCAGTGATGATCACTAAGCCTACTTAGAGAGACTAGGACTAACTTTCAGAACTCTGGGCATTTTTCTACCTTTCTCTACTTTCTATACTTTATCTTTCTGTCATTTTGCTTCTTTCTTTCTTTCCATATTTTATCACTTTTTTCATTCATCACTCCTTTTTCTTTTGCCTAGACTGAGATTGTAAGTCCCTCTCAATGAAGGGTAAGATTATGAGATCTGAGGGCTGTTTAAACCTAATAACTTGTCTGTTCAGTGTACTGAAATGCAATGAGAAAATTTAGAGGAATGATAGTTTCGGAACTGAATATGTAATAGCATATCTACTTCATGATGTCATTTTCAGATATGATGTACAGTATAAATATTTTGAAATTTACTCTGTCAACATACTATAGTTTTTATTGCTATTAAAAATATATTTTGTGACTAAAGTAATTATCTATAAAAGTATCATCTTACATAAAATTCAGCCCTACTTTGTAGCCTGATTTTTAAGTTTTGATAGTAGTAACCTCATTTTTTATGCTCTGAAAGAGTAAAGTAGGATAGCTGGGGATGCTGTTGTAATTCATTGTTGGGCTTATAATTATGAGGTTTTGAATCTGTTCAGAGAGCCAGGAATTGGCAGTATGTTATTAATACTATAAACTTGTAACTATGAAAATAGACTATAAGAAATGGAAAGCATAGGGCCAAATACAAATCTTATACTTCCTTATTTAATCCACTATAGAGTCAAGGTCCTCAGTTGCTTGGGCTTACTTTATGTTTGTTTACTTTATGGGCTTTACTGTTGATTAAACTGCATCTTCTCGTTTACCCTACCTACCCTAGCTTCATCTGCTTACAGATTATTAGAGAGTCAGGTGCTTATACCCATTACCCAAGGTAAAAGCTATTTTTGTTAGAAATCGTTTGCCTTATTTTGTTTTTTTTTTTACGAGATTTTATGTGTTAACTTGTAAAGTCATGCCAACCTCTGAGTTTCATTATAATTTCCTAGTTTTTTGTCCCACATATGGATCTTTGAACAACTATAGTTTCATTTGGTGAAGGATGCTTAATAAGAGGCTGGGGGTTTAATATATTCCAATTTTTCACTTTTTTTTCATTGCCACTCCCCTGAAGATATATTTTGGACATTTTTTTCCTAATTTCCCCCTGTGAAAATGTAATACTGAAGATTATTTGTCTACATATGGTACTGTGCTTAATTCATTAAATGAGTAAGATAAGGATTTTTTTTCTTCTTCCCTCTCCCAGAACCTGTTTTTCTTCCCTTTAGGGGTGATACTGCCCCCATTGAGAATGTATGGCATAGACTCAGTAAGCTGAAAGCCTAGCCGATTTAGATATGTCAAGACTGCAGCTGGTGTTGAAGAAATTGGCTAAAATCCTAGTTACATTCTGGGTATGAAGATAGTAGTAGTTTAATCTTGAAGAACTTTGAATCTTCCTACAAATCCCTCCAGATAGCTTATTTTATTGTAAAAATTGCTTGCTTTTTAAAAGTAATACATCTATCTTGGATGCAAAAGGGTCTACATTTTTTTCAGTATGACACTTTTATGTTTAACCTAACTTACAGAAAATCAAAATACAGCAGAAGGCAATTTTATATGGTTTCCGCCATTAAAGGGAAAGATTTTCTGTCTTGATTTATCCTTTCATGGATATAATCTTATATTTCTTACAGTATGAAGCCTCATTTTAGGTCATCAGGTGGTTCAGAACACTCAACAGAGGGCTCTGTGTCATTGGGGGATGGACCATTAAACAGATCTGGTTCAAGGAACTTTCCAACTGAGCAGCATAACCCTCCAGTAACAGGGCATCAGGAGCAAAGCTGCCTTCCAAAAGAGACTCCCACTTTGCAGATGGAACAGAATGGGGACTATGGTAGGGGCAGGTAAGGAAATATGATAATAAGTATGGAAATAGGGTATATGAAAATTCTTTAATCATTAATAATGTAAATATTTGAAGACCCTGATCCAGTGGTTTGGTTTTTGATGTTTTTTAACTTAATCATTGGTCTACAGTTATGCTAAATACATACATTATTCCCATAATATGGGTTAAAAGTTTTCTGTAGTTAAGAAATATAGGGTGCCCGTTTAGAATATAGCTCTAAGTCAGAGTTTTACGAAAGTTATTCTGTAGTTCTTTATAGTTCACTAAGGAAAGAATAGCTTAGGTAAGGTACCACCTGCATTACAATTTTAATTTCTTACAAATTCTAAACTATGTTATATATTGCCCGTCCTACCTAAATGAGACCAAAAAACCTGAACCCTAGTATGCTTCTGGTGTGGACAGAAGTAATAGCACTATCCATAAAAATGGGCCCAAATTACTTACTGGTGGTGGTGGTAATATAGATGAAGTTTTTAATAGAAGATTTTTAATTGCCCTGGATCCCTTCAGAAGTATATTTATCTTTTAATAATAAGAATGAAGATTTAAGAAAGTATAGTTATTTAAACTAGAAGTTCACCCATTTTTGGTAGAATGTATATATTTGAAGAGACTTATGAGTTGTTCCCTCCACTGCCCCTTCTTTGTCATTGTTAAAAGGAGAACTCTTTTCAGAGGTCGAAGACGACGAGAAGATGACAGGATTACAGTAAGTGTTTTTTTACCTTTAATTACATTTGTTCAATTTTCTTTTCTTTTGCAATTTACTATGGCATTAGTTGTGGTCTTTCCTTCCTTTCTGGGCTTTTGTTTTATTGATTATAGTGTTCAGTGAAGGTAAAGCCTCTGCTTGACTCTGAAATATTCTTCACCACCACCACCCCTCACCCTGAAATCACGCATATAATGAAGGATTTGACCTATGTTCACTTTTTTTAAATTAAATACCTAATATGTTCATATGGTTTAGAAAACAAAAACAAATTATAATATTCCTATGAAAAGTTTACTTTATTAATTGACATTTAAGTAGTTTCCATCTTTTGATCTTACAAACAGTGCTGTTAAAAACAGGGCAACAGAAACCTTATACAACCATTTCTTATGTGTACAGATCTGAAGGAGAATCCCTAGATGTGAGATTCTGGGTCAATAAGTTGTTGGCAAATGGCTTTCTGTAGGACTTGTGACAGTTTTCACTCCAGGAATCAAAGTTCCTATTTATCCATAACCTTACAGAGTATATGATTTTTTGCTAATGTATCTGATGGGGAATAACATTACATTCACTTCTAATGCTCTGTTCGATGGTGTAGGAAACTGTTAAGTATTTATTGTTATTTGGGGGCAATTTTCTGCCTACTGCTGATTCTTATATCCACTAATATTATAAAACTGCTTATAGATTTAAAAAATTTTAAGTTCTAGATATGTTCTTATTTGAATCTTACCTAGCTTCAAATTATTCATATTTTCTATTTTTTGTGGTTTGTTCATGGTGAATGTTTGCCATATCTTAATTGAGGGCAAAAGGAGTTAAGAAATAAAAGTGGTGGAGGAAGACCTGGAGATTTCAATTAAATTCTGCCTAGTATTCACAGATACATCATAAATGTGAAATATAATGCTTATTTTACATGTATAAGTAGTGGATTATATACATATATAACTAGCATAGTATACCACATCATATACAAATAAATATACATATATCACATAAATAGTGAAAAGACAAGAGTTTTCAAATAAAACATATTGCATTATGACACAAACAATAAGCTTTAGAGCAAACTGAACCTTTTAAGACTGTTGTTTTTTCATTTGTAGCTTTCTATACCCTCAGCAACCATGAGACTTTTGGCAACAACTTTTTTTAGAATACTGTCAGCAGTCTACAGTCACCCTCAAGTGGCCCTGCACAATTGAGGAGAGCAGAAATTAGGTTTGAGGTCTAACGTGTTGAAATACCCAGATTGAGGACTACAGGTTGGGGTGAAGAAAAAGATAGGCATGCTTTCCAGTAGAAAGGGCAAGGTACAAGATGGAGATCTTAGAGATAAAATAAAACCAAGAATGGAACCTTGGGGAACATAGTAGCTTCAGGCTGAAAAATTAGATTATTCATTATGTTGTTTGAAGTGTCCAGGTGAAATCTGAGGGGAGATGGCTGATAGGCAAGTGGATGTCTGGGTTTCAGGTAAAGGTCTGGGCTGAAAATATCTAAAGTGTACAACTCAGTGATTTTTGGTAAATTTTCAGAGGTGTACAGCCAAAAAAAAGATTTGTTTTAAGAGTTGTGTGCATGTAGGTTAGTTGAAGCCATGGGTAATGGATAATCACACAAGAAAAGGTTGGAAAGTAAGAAGAGTAATAACCATATAGAAACCAAAAACAAGTGGGCAGGAAGAGAACACGAGTGTCATATCTGAGAATTAAAAGAAAGAGGTGTCATAGAAGCTAAGGGAAGAATGAGCTTCCAAAAGAATGTTTTACCGTGGCAAAAGCTAGAATGAGCTCAGGAAAAAAAACTCTGTTAGATTTTACATCATGGGAGGTATTGGTCACTTAAAGCAACTTCAGTGGAGCGAGGAAGTAATAGGAGGTACAGGGGAGACGCTTGTCAGGATATGTAGAGTGATAGGTGGAAGGGAAAGATGAAATTTTCAAGGAAGGATTTTGTTAGTTTTTGAGACTATATAGGTGGGGAAAGGGTAGCAGATTTAGCTAAGGTAGGATATTTCAGTTTTGTTTTTATGGAAGTGGGTAGAGCAAATTTAGGAAGCAAAGAATATGGTGGGAATTGGATAGAAAGCATTAGGAGTTTGAAAAAATTCGCTAAAGAAACAAGACAGGCTTTTCTGTCCGCTCCCCTCCTCGTGAGCGCTGCTTGGCCTGTGCCTTCATGGTCTCCCTCCAGCCGCCATTATGATCATCTCCCAGGACCTCATCAGCCATGATGTTCTCTGACATCTATAAGATCCAGGAGATCGTGGATGGGCTGTGCCTGGAGGTGGAGGGGAATAAGGTCTCTAGGACAAAGGGTAACACCGATGACTCGTTCATTGGTGGGAATGCCTGTGCTGAAGGCCCAGAGGGCAAACGTACTGAAAGCATAGTGATTCCCAGTGGTGATACTGTCAGGAACCATCACTTGCAGGAAATAAGCTTCAAAAAAGAAGTATTACAAGTGCATCAAAAATTATATGACATCAACCAAAGGCAAACTTAAAGAAGAGAGATCAGAAAGAGTAAAACCTTTCGTGACAGTCTGCTGAACAAATCAAGCACCTTCTTGCTAATTTCAAATCTACTGGTTCTTTATTGATGAACACATGAATCCAGATGGCATGGTTGCTCTGCTATACTACCGTGAGGATGGTGTGACCCCATATGTGATTTTAAGGATAGTTTAGAAATGAAAAAATGTTAACGAATTTGACTCTTTGAATCTGTCATCTGTCGTACATAACTGGCTGCAGCTTTTCATCCACACAACACCAGGGCTTCGGCAAATGGGACTGATGTGATTTTGAGCTCTTCATTTATTTTGACATAGATTTTTTTGGAGTTAGAGGCATTGTTTTAAGGAAGAAACGTGTCATGTAGGTTGTCTAAAAATAAAATGAATATAAGCTAAAAAAAAAGAGAGAAACAGAAGACAGAGTTGACTGAAGATAAGTAGGATTGATAAAGATAATGAAAGCTCATCTGAGATGAGAAGCCAAGAATCTACAGGGAGCAATATTGTGCATTAGAGTGGATTCTGTTTATTTCTTGCAACTTGGCAGCTTCAGTGTGTAATCATGTGATAAGAGAATGAGATGAGCCTGTGACCTGTTCTGTGATTTGTTATCTTTTAGAGACCCCATTCTTCAACAACTGAAGTAAAGGCTCCAACACCAAAGTTTGACTTACTAGCCTCAAATTTTCCTCCTTTACCTGGGAGTTCATCAAGAGTGCCAGGTGAACTTGTGTTGGAGAGTAGGATGTCTGATGTTGTTAAAGGTGTCTGTAAAGAAAAGGTAAACACTGAAACATCTGATCTTTTACTTTTGGAGACCATAATTAGACTTCGTTTTCAGGGTTATCACTTAAAATGTATTTCTGTCATAGTATTTATTCATGAAGTGTTCAGCAGTCTATGAGTGTTAGAAAAAGATATGTGATACAGCTACACAAGTCCATAAAAATGTTTCTTCATTTTTGCGTGTCTTTTTATCAATCAACCCAGCTTGGTAGAACCAATTAATGCAAGCTAAATGGAAAGTGTCATTTCTATTGAAGTGCCTGTAATTATCAAATAATGTACATGAATTCTAAGCTGGTTTACCAAACTTGAGGTGTCAGATAGTTGGGATACCTCATCCTACAATATTTTTCAGTGTCAACCTCTCCATATGATAAATCCTCATGCCCCACAAATTTTTCTCATTTTCTACCTTTTTTCCTAATAAATTTTTATTTTAATAATACAAGCATATAGTATGTCTAAGCTTATAATGTAAAATAGTAGTCCCCTGCAACCACTTTCAACTCTAGCTTTTTCTCCTGACATTTATCCCTACATTTCTAATTAACACAGTTATACTGCTGTTTCTTGACTTTTTAATTTTATATGTCTGTTAACTTTACATTCTGTATTAGCTCTTTCTAACCAACATTTTTCTCATCCTCCCTGTTTATGATACTTCTTCATGTCTAGGACCATGAGTTATAAGATGCACCATTATTTTAGTATCACTGAATAAAAAAGCATTGCCATTTAGACTATGATATGCCATCATTTTTAAGTCACATCTCAATATTACATTTTTTTTCATAACTGAGCCTCATAGTGTTATTATTTCTCCTTTCTTACACCCTCATTGGCTTTCTAGATCTGGGACCTCCCTTTGCCATTTTCCTTACTCTCCTTTGCGGGAGTCCCTTTTCTTACTCTTGTTTTACTTTCCAATATTATAGTGGGGTCACTTCTTTCTGAGCTTTTGAATAAGTAGTTTATTAGAATAAATTTCTTGAGATTGACAATGTTTTCCTGTTCTCATATTTGATCAATAGCTTATCTGTATAGAATTCTCTATTAGAAATCATTTTCTCTTGGAATTTTGAAGATACTTTGCTGTCTTCTTTGTTTTAAAAAATGCTATATTGTAGTTATTTCATCCGTTATAAGATAGATGTTTTTTTTCAGAATTTCCACCATTGAAATTAGGCTGTCTTATAATTAAGAACTACTAGAGTAAGTGGCAGTGTTTTTTCTTAGTATTACATAAAATAATGGTGTGTTTTAGATTTGATGGCTTCTCAGCTTTGGTGAGGTGTGATACATACACACATAGTTTTTTAAATAATAATAATAAAGTGTACTTTCCCTTGTAATCCCACCCCAGAGTTATGGACTATAAACATCACCAGTGTCTTAGCAGTGCCATGTGTCACCCTCCCTATTTACAGTTCTTTATATTCTTCTCCTTTGCTCCCCCTTAGAGAGAAACATTATCCTGACTTTGTAATCATAGTTTTCTTGCTATTCTTTATAGTTTTTCCATCCCAGGTGGGAAACTTTCTGAAAAAAGCCAAATAGTAAATGTTTTAGGTTTTATGGGCCCATGCAGTTGCATATTCTTATTTGTTTTTTTAAAAGTCCATTCTTAGCTCACAGGCCATACCAACAAAGTCACAGGCTGGATTAAGCTTGTGGGCCTTTGTTTGCGGACCTCTAACCTAAACAGTATTGTTGAGTGTGCCTGTTTTTGAACGCTACATCCATGGAATTGTACAATATGTATTCTTTGTTACTTTGATTCTGTATTTGAAATTCACCACTGCTGATGCAGATGACTAGTTCATTTGCACTGTTGTAGAATGTTCTGTTTTAGGAATATAACATTATTTGTTCTTTTGTTGCTAGATATTTTAGCTGTTTTTTGTGTTTGCCATTACAATGCTAGTATGAATGTTCAAACCTATTCTTGTGAGCAAGAATATTTCTAGGGTACATACGATGTGTGCATGTTTGTATTCCCTATTTCTAGGGTATTTGCATTGTGAAATTGCTGAGTAACAAAGCATATTCTTTTAAAATTGAGTTACTATTGAGGTTAAGTATCTTTTCCTGTTGGCCATTTGAGTTTCTCTTTTGTCAAAGTCTTTAAAATATTTGGCACATTATTTCTGTTGGGTCATCTCTTACCTGTATAGAGTGTAGGAATTTTTTACATATTCTGGATACTAATTCTTCATTAGTCATGTATAAAACTAATAATAGTTTTCAGTCTTTAGTATTTGTGGATCAAAACAGGTTCTTAATTTTAGTATGGTCATAATTATCAGTGTTTCCTTTATGCTTTGTTATTTTTAAATGTCGCTTAGAAAATGATCTAGCTTCCAGAAAGTCTTTTCAGAAACCTATGCTTCTGATCCCTGATCCTCCTGTGACCTGTTTTTCCTTTTCTGGAGGCTTTTAGGATCTTTCTTATCTCTGGTATTCTGTGAATTTCATGATGATGTGTTTTTCTATGGCTCTTTTTTTTTTTAATTCATTGCACTGGATGCTTGGTGGACCCTTTTCAGTCTGGAAACTCATGTCCATGCTGAAATATTTTCCTGTATTCTCTCTTTGATCAAACTTTAATACCTCTTCTACTTCTTTTCTTTTCTCTCTCTTGAATTCTTAATTTATTGATATAGAAACTTGTAGGTTGAACCTCTGATTTTCTTTCTATTTGTCTGTTTTCTTGAATGTTTCCTTTTAAACCTATTGAAAATTTTATTTCATCAATTGATTTTAATTTCAAGGGCTTTTTTTTTTCCTTTAATTGTGGTGAAATACACATAGCATAAACTTTACCATCTTGACTGTTGTGAAAGTGTGTACAGTTCAGTAATGTTAAGTACATTCACATTGTTTGCATCTAATCCAGAACTCTCTTTATCTTAAAAACGAAAATGTTATACCCATTAAACAGCAATTTCAATTTCCCCTTCCTGCAGCCCCCAGCAACAACCATCTACTTTGCCTCCATGCATTCTAGGTACCTCAAAAATGGAATCATGTAGTATTTGTCTTTTTATGGACTGGCTTGTTTTGCTCAGCATAATGTCAAGATTCATCTATTGTAGCATGTATCAGTACTTCATTCCTTTTGTTGAGCAATAATATTCCATTGTATGGATATACCACACTTGGTTTATCTATTTACCAGTTGATGAACATTTAGGTTGCCACTTTTTGGCTATTATGAAAAATGTTACTATGAATATTTGTGTAAAAGTTTTTGTGTAGACATGTGTTTTCCTTGGGTATATACCAAGAGTAGAATTGTTAGGTCATATGGTAAGTCTATGTTTAACTTTCTGAGAAACTGCCAGACTATTTTCCAAAGTGGCTACACTACATTGCTACCCTCAGTGTAAGAGAGTTCTGTTATTTCCAGATCATCATCAACATTTGTTATTGTCTGTCTAGCTGATTTTAGCCATCTTTGTGAGTGTGAAGTGGTTTCTCATTGTGGTTCTGATTTGCATTTGCCTAATGACTAATGATGTTGAACATCTTTTCATGTGCGTATTGACCATTTATATATCTTCTTTGGAGAAGTGTCTGTACAAGCGCAATTTTGAAATGTTTTTATTTTAAGGATAATGAAGAGTTCAGAGTTAGTTGCCCAGTGCCTACAGAAGGTGAACAGACACACTGCACCTCTGCCCAGCAACTCAATATGAGTACCAGTCCTCCATGTACAGCAGCTGAGCTTCCTGCATTAAGGTACAAGTTTCAGTGTAGAAGCTTTTTCAGATTAGCATTACTTTTTCTTGGGATACTTGTTCAGGTGTTTCTCTATGCTATACTAAGTCTAATGTCAAGCTCTTTTTTCCTTATTAGCACAACTCAGCAAGAAAAGTATCTATTAGAGGATTCTACTGTTCAGAAGGATGTTCTCACCCAGACAGTTATACCAGTTTCTTCCCCAAGTGCTGCAAAGCCCTCAAGGACAAATACTACTTCACCAATTAATAGTGCAGCTGTAGCTATGGCCCTGCAGGTAACTTGATGAATATAGCTCATGTGAGAAAAAAATAATAATAGGTCAAAAAAATTTTTTTTCATATAACTCTTTGCTAGAGCAGAGTCATTTGGAAATAGCCCAAATTTGGACTGTCTGCTGCAGAAAGAAGCTAAAGGAATTTAAAGTCACTGAAGAAATGGGAAATTTTAGCCATGTTAAAGGAATGAAAAAGTTACTGTTCAGTGTTTCTTTTGATTGCTTTTTTCATGATATTATGGTTAAATGAAGCTTCTTTCTTATCCAGATTATAAATGAGTGTATCATTTTGGGGCTACTGTAAAGAAACCTTGGGTCCTTTAAAATTCTTTTTGCATAATGCTAACAAGTCTATGAAACCTATGAAGGGACATTTCCATTTTTATTCAATTTTCAGAATCAGTTTCATAATTAAGGAACTAGAGAAAAGCAGGAAAGAAACAAAACTGACCTATAATCCATTGATATAACTAGTAGCATGGTAGTACAGTTCTGTTTTCTAGATTAAGAATATTTTATCTTGTCATTTAATAATAATTGAATAGCAACTACCCATTATTGACAGTGCTGAAGACTTTTGTATGCTTTATCTCATTCTCACAACCTATTGTCCTCCTTTTTCAGATGAGGTAATTGAGACTTTAGATTGGTTCTCTGTTACTATATTAGGATTCCAACTGCTCTGCTTAGATTCTTGAGGAATCCCATTCAAGGTTCTTTGTATCCTGGGAAAAGAAAATTGAACCATTTTATTTGATCATATGGATATACCATTATTGATTTAATCTGTCATTTATTGCTCAGTTTTGTTCATCACTATAAACAATGCTGAATCAACATCCTTCAAATATATTCCTCAAGTGAAATTACTGTATCATATATAAATTGCTAAGGCTTTTTACTATTTTTTTTTTAAGATGGTACCAATACATTTCAATAGCAGTGTATATGAGAGTGCCTGTTGCCCTTTCCTAGATGATAAGTTATGATTCTTTCATGGTTAACACTATCCTTTTTATATTTGATTAGAGAATGTGTACCATAAGGTTTTTTTGTTTCTTATCTTCTCTTCAAAGGAACCCCGAAAGCTAAGTTATGCTGAAGTGTGCCAGAAGCCCCCTAAAGAGCCATCTCCAGTTCTTGTGCAGCCACTACGAGAACTTCGCTCCAATGTAGTGTCTCCCACCAAAAATGAAGAAAATGGAACTCTTGAGAAGTCTCTTGAGAAACCACAGGAGAAGCCAGAAGCAAGGGCTAGTAAGGATTATTCTGGCATCCGGGGCAGTACCATTCCCAGGGGAGCAGCTGGAAAAATCAGGGAACAGAAACGCCAGTTTGGCCATAGGGCTATACCTCAGGGAGTGACTCGACGTAATGGCAAAGAGCAATATGTGCCACCCAGATCACCAAAGTAAACAAACAAAAACTATTCAAAAACTTCTCTCTCTTCCCATTAAACTTGAGCTGTGGCTATATTGAACTATTTCGAGGGGAGGGTGTAGCCAGGAAGAAAACAGGAGAAAGTATGTCTTTAAATCATCATGGATTTTGGAGTTGTGAGCAGTAGAACCCCAAAATTCATCTCTAAAGTGATTTTAAAATGCTGGAGGATTCCAATCAGTATGTATATATATATACACACATCTATAAAAATATAATTTTTCTATTTTTGTTTTTGATTTTAATTTGCAGAGATCTTTTGCCTGGAATCAGTTTTGAGGTTCAGATGTAGCTTGGGAAAAAAAAATACTACACATCCTTCGGTATAGCAGATGAGGGAGTGAGAGAAAATATTTTTTGAAGAAGCGTTTCTGTAAAATTAGAAATTACTTTTTTAAATCTATTTAAAGTTTGGCTTGGAGAATGCCATCTCTGCCTCTATGGCCTTGTGTTGCAAAGCAGATCAGTGGCTGGGATGCCTGTTATAGTGTGAATGTGTGCAAGAGTGATTGAAGCCAAATCTGTTGTCATGTTAGTAAATGATTTGAAAACTGAATGTAATACTTGAGTAGATTTTTTTTTCCAGTTTAAAATTTAGTCTTTTTGACGTCACTAATATTTCATTCAACAAGCTGTTAAACTCCAATTGTACTTAAGAGATGTGACTACCAATCAATTTGATACTCAAGGAAAGAATGGGAATTATTCAAAAAATTGAAAAATTGGCTTAGTTCTGAGTAGGTGGGTTAGATGGACTTCAGAGGTTTAAACTACCCTGTGACTTTGCCCCACTAAAACAGGAAACAGTTTTTCTGTTGTTATTCATTTGTTACTCTCTGTTCTTTGACTACCCACCCCACCCCTAAGAGCAAAATAACCAACCACCTACAGAATTATATATTTCTGCCTGCCTTGAAGAGTCTATTCCAATCATAGAACTGTTCTCTAAATTTCTGAATTGAACATTGAAGGATTTTACTCTTCTGTTCACTGATTTAAAACTTTAGACCACAAAATAGTAGGGCAGACTGACCCTACAGTAATTTATTTGTGTTAGTATTAAAGATAAAACATTGTAACTGACTCTGAAGTATTAAATAGTATAGAATTATTTTTAATGTTTTTTAAGGCATAATTTGGGGGCAACTTTTATTCTGTTTACAATGTATTTATCATCCCTATCCTTCCCTTTTTCAAAAAATAAAGAGTGCAGTTTAGAATTGACAGAAACAGAACCAGCAATTCCCAAGATGTTTGAGTTAAGGTGAGAAAGATAGTTGATGAAAATTAATACACAATTTCTCAGTGAATAAAGTTGTAGCTCTCATATTAGACAAGTTTACATGCTGTTATTTAGAAAATGCCTAAAATATTAAAAACCATGTTGCATTAATCTGTTTTAATTCCTACCATTTTCAGAGTTCTATGTAAGGTAGGGTTTTGTTTTCTTTTTTTAGGGATAGTTTGTAATAGTAATAACTGTCCCTTTTGTTTGTGAATTACATATGTAAAATTAAAACTGTAAATTGTGAACACTGGAAAGCACCATTGTGACATAGAGTAAACATCTTAGTAATATATTAAAATGAATGTAAATGGAGGTTAATATTACATTACTGTGAAACTTATCTTCCAACTCTAAGTTAAACTTTGGAGATTTGTATTAGTAGGTAACTGTTCAGAGTTTTGAAAACACTGCACATTTCTGTATAAGCCAGAATTATCATTTCTTTGTAATTTATTATTCAGCTTGGCAATTGCTTTTGATTTGGTGGATTGATAATATGGTATAGTATATTTAAGCAGTTTGAAACTGTTCATTTCTACACACTATTTTTTTAAATCATCTGCTAGATGAAACATACAATAAAACTACCTGTGCTGAAATTTGGGGGAAGTTTAGGTCCTTTTCAAAAAAGTATTAATAATCATTGACTACATCTATGATGAAAGTGCTTATTTTGGTTTACTTAGATAATGCTGCAGTTGGTGGAAATGATAAACATTTAAAGTGTTAACACTCTGTGAATGCATTGGATTTAAGAGAATAAACATTTTATAAAAATCACTTGGTAAGAATTATAAACTTAATTACTGCACTTAAAATGAAACATTACTTTTGTTATAATGTGTCACAGAAGTAGGCTTTTATGATTTGTATGCTTGTGTGATTTATTGTTAGTCCACCCAACTTCTAAAAACTAAATGTTACGATTGAAACACAAGAAAAGAATCGTTTTTGAAGAAAGCGTGTTCTTAATTTTTTTCCTAAAATGTTGTTGAAAGTAGAGGCTTAAAGACGTGACCATTTTTAAATTTCTTATAAAATTTAGTGTTTTTAATTTAATTTGCCTCATTGCAGCTAATGGTTCCCATTTTGATGGGATGTATAGCAAAGAATAACTATGTGTGTGTGTATATATAATATATATATATATTCACAGTATGTATTTAGCATTTATTTTATTACAGCAGATTTAAGGTTTGTATCTAAATGATGCTTATGAATTGTGAAAACTGTTGGCTTATTTTTTTCCAGCATTACTCTGTAACTGATGAGGGTTGGGTGTTTGTTGTAGTTCAACTATTTATTTGGTTCTTTAGGAGGAGGGCTTTAAATGTCAAATTTTTTTCTTTATTATTATAACTTAACACTTCCTTGGGTTCTTGGAGGTTAAAAGTAGATACAAATGATACTGAGTGTATGGTACAGTGATTTCTGCTATAGTTCTTACTGCATGAAGGGAACAAGAGTCACACAAGTTCATCACCTTGTACTTCATAAGAAAGATTGTAAAACCCATCTACATTATCTACCCTGATACTTAAGGTTTTCATGATACTAGGGTTTCATACTTCATTGAAGTAATTTTATTTTTGCAAATATAGACACTGGCATTCAAAAGGAGTGATCCATCTAAATTTTTTTCAACTGGATTTTGGAAGAAAATGAGATCTGGATTTCCTGTTGTCATCTTGTGTGCTCAGTCTGCATGTGATCAAATGACATGCAGACTTTTTATTTATTTTTGCTTCCGAAGATTAAGGTAACTTGACTATTGTTTCACATTCCTTTTTCTTTTTAAATAACCAGGTTGGCTTTTGCAAAAGGCTTAATGATGGATTATTAGCATCTGCTGGAGCAGAAAATAGCATTTAAAAGTTCCTGAACACTTTCTCATTTAATTTATGTCCTTAATATTTAGTTTTGGCTTAACTATCCACTGGTTTTACTTTGATGCAGTTGAAGAGCACTGGGGTTAAGTCTTTGATGTTTGTGTTGGCCATGTATATTAACTACATTTTAAAATTACCCATTTTGTTTGCTTTAACAGAAAAGAAAATGCAAAAGAGACAAGTACTCCTTTTGATAGGTTTTTATAAATTCCTAACTACAACATATGATGGGTTTTTTCCTAATTTTTATTATTTCCTTACAATTTGGTGGCCATTAATTTAACTTTAGGCTTTTTGGTGTATGCTAATTTAGCTGGTCTGCGCTTCCAAGAAGATAGACATTTCAGTTTTCAGTAGCTGAATGAGGACATTTTAAGTTGAAAGAGTATTTGCTTTCAAGTTGTGAGTAAATTCTCTTTCAAAATTAATCTGATTATTAAATAATTTAAAGTTTATTTTTAAAAGCTAAGAACTTTTTGTGAATTGTTAGGGAGATAGTTCCTAAAAGTAAATCTTTGGATGTCAACAGACTATATAAAATAGTTTTATTTTCAGTTATGCAGCACAAAATACTAATTAGTATATATAAGGAAACATCCACATTAACTTTCTTTTCTTAACCTTCAGGTGTCCTTTGAGTGACATCCCTTAAATGTTTGGGGTTAGGGGTCAGAATCAGTTATCTGGCTTCTGTTTTGCCCATTGCTTAGGTTTATTCTTGTTGTCAAAACTATCCCTTCCCAAAATGGTGTGACACAGGCTCATGCATATTATGTTAAAATGAATACATCCTTGTATTTGTATTTTTGTTTTCAACATTGCCAAGGTGCTATGGGAAATTAAAGTAACACAAAACTAGAAAAAATAAAATTATTTAAAAGAAGGACTGGTTTCCATTTCAGTAATTTTATATGTTGCCCATTCTATATCTGGACTCAGCTTTTTGTTTTGGGGCTGGGCAGGGTTTGTGATATTTTCTTCTGTGAAGTGAGAGCAGAGAGCTAGAAGATTCAGCTTTATGTAGCTGGAGTTTTTTTACATTCTTTTAGTGTCAAAAGCAGTTCTTGAAGGGAAAAAAATATTCATAGGGCAATGTGGAGCTCAAGGATTTTGCCTGCATGGGACAGAATATGGCCTAATTTAAAAATTCTAGGTTTTCAACTTTTGTTTCCAAGAGAGAATTACTAGGTTACCTTGTCAACCACATCTTTGCTTTGATTATATCAAATCATAGAGCTAAAGAGAAAGTTCACTGGGAAATGTAAATGAGTCTTTTGAGGGCAAAAATTGAAAAACTTATTAAGTGTGTGGCTTTTTAACAGCTGGTATCTGAAAATTATGTGATAGCTTATCTTTTACTGAATGTAGTATTGCTAAAAAACTGAAGTGTTTCAAGTTGTTATGCCACAATTCTTGAATTGTCTAAGTAGGATAAATTCTTTTACAGTAGAAATCTAAGTCTTTCAAATATGGGCTAATTTCTGATTAGATTCTCTAATTCTTAAAACCATTCAGAAATGTGCTATTCTACCAGGTTGTGTGACATGAGTATGTTTGTAAATAATACACAGTGAAGTGACATGTAATGTGAACATTCAGTTTGATGACTCATCTCAATAGTAGCACTGCCCTTTAAACAACTAAGAACCTTAATTTGCTAATGAACAGTTACTTATCTTAATGAAGATAGCTAATATCAGTGAGCAAAATGGTCCCAGTTACAACAAGTTTACAGGGGTTATGTGCTTTTAACAAAGCCTTAGGGCCTTAATATCAGTGTGTTTAAAGTTATGTGACCAAGAAAAGGGGGATGGTGCATAACTTGAATTTCTTTATCACACCAGGAACACTGATTGTGATGTCTCTCTCTCTCTTAGTGGATTAGTAACCGAATTGGTAAACTTAGATATGCAGGCTTTGGAGTTGTATATAAAATAAGTGGATTTGTCAAGAGTCTCAACACTGAGATACCTTAGGTGTTTAATTATGCCTTGTTAGAAAATACTAACATAAATAGGTCTCCAAGTTCAAATTTCAATTATATGCTGGAAGTTTTTATGGAAAGTTTAACAGTTACTACTAAAGCATTGTGAATTCCCTTAGAAGTCTTTGGAATGAAAACTATCAAGGGTGTCTTTAGTTTGTATGATGGTTTAAAGGAACTGGGATATTTTCAGTTTCATCATAATGCTCCCAAACACGGACTTTCATTTTCTTCTAGTGTGGGGAAGGGACAAACTACCTAAACATCTTTTTTTCCCCTTTTTTATTGATATATCATTGATACAGTATCTTATATTGTTTTCAAATATACAACACGGTGGTTCAACAGTTACCCATATTAAAGTTACTGTCAACATAGAAAGATGATACAAAATCATTGACATGGAAATGATTAGAAGTGAAAATACTGGATTGAATGGTATTTCTATTTATAGTTTGTTAAGAAACCTCCATACTGCTTTCTACAGCAGTTGTACCAATTTACATTCCCACCAACAGTGTAGGAGGGTTACCTTTTCACTACATCCTTGCCAATACTCATTTCTTGTCTTGTGGATAGTAGCCATTCTAACTGCTGTGAGGTGATTATCTCATTGTGGGTTTGATTTGCATTTCTTCTTGGGAAAAATGTCTGTTCAGGTCCTCCGTGCATTTTTTAATTAGGTTGTTTGCTTTTGTGGTGTTGAGGCATATGAGTTCTTTATATATTTTGGATGTTAAACCCCTTATCAGATAAATCATTTACAAATATATTCTCCCATACTGTAGGTTGCCTTTTTTTGTCCTGCTGATGGTGTCCTTTGCTGTACAGAAGCCTTCATCTGATGTAGTTCCACTTGTTCATTTTTTATTTTGTTCCCCTTGCCCAAGGAGATGTATCCAGGAAAAAAACCACTCATACTTAGATTCAAGAGATTTTTGCTCATGTTTTCTTCTAAGAGTTTTTTTTATAGTTTCATGTCTTCCATTCAGATCTTTGATTCATTTCAAGTTTACGTTGTGTGTGGAGTTAGACAGTAATCCAGCTTCATTCCCTTCTTTGTAGCTGTCCAGTTTTCCCAAAACCAGTTGTTGAAGAGGCTGTTTTTTCCCGATTGTATATTCATGGCTCCTCTATCATATATTAATTGACCATATATGTGTGGGTTTAAATCTGGATTCTCTATATTCTGTTCCATTGATCTATGGGTCTGTTCTTGTGCCAGTACCAAATTGTTTTGATTACTGTAGCTTTGTAGTAGAGCTTCAAGTCAGGGAGTATAATACCCCCAGCTTTGATCTTTCTCAGGATTGCATTGGCTATTCAGGGTCATTTGTGGTTCCATATGAAATTAAAGATTATTTGCTCTATCTAGTTTATTAAATGCCATTGGTGTTTTGATAGGGATTGCATTTAATCTGTAAATTGCTTTGGGCAGGACGGTCATTTTGACACTATTAATTCTTATCCATGAGCATGGGATATAATTCCATTCATTTTTAAATTTCTCTCATGAGTGTCTTACAGTTTTCAGAGTACAAGTCTTTCACTTGCTTTGTTAGGTTTATTCCTAGGTATTTTATTCTTACTGAGGCAATTGTAAATGAAATTGTTTTCCTTGTTTCTCTTTCCGTTACTCTGTTGTTAGTATATAGGAACACAACAGATTTCTGTGTATTTTGTATCCTACAACTTCGCATTATCCAGTTCTAGTAGCTTTTTGGGGAAGTCCTCAGGGTTTTCTACATAAAATACCATGTCACCTGAAAATAGTGACAGTTTGACTTCTTTCTTAACAATTTGGGTGCCTTTTATCTCTATCTTGTCTGATTACCATGGCTAGCATCTCCAGTACTATGTTGAATTAAAGTGGTGTGAGTGGACATCCTTGTCTGTTTATGATCTTAAAGGAAAAACTTTTAGATTTTCGCCATTAGGGATGATGTTAGAATGCTGTGGGTTTGTGCTATATGGCCTTTAATGTTGATGTACATACCCTCTATACCCATTTTGTTGAGAGAGTTTTTATCATGAATGGATGTTGAATTTTGTCAAATGCTTTTTGAGATGATCATGTGGTTTTTATCCTTTTTGTTAATGTGTATAATGTTGATTGATTTATGAATATTGTACCATCCTTGCATCCCTGGAATAGATCCCAGTCATGATGGATGATCCTTTTGATGTATTTTTGAATTCTGTTTGCTAATTTGTGGGGCATATTTCTGTGGTGTCTGTTGTGACTATTCCTTCTTCATTTCTCATTTTGTATACTCTTTTTTTCTTGATTAAGCCTGGCTTGGGGTTTATCTCTTTTGTTTATTTCTCAAAGTACCATCTCTTGGTTTCATTTTTTTTCCTGTTGTTTTATTTTTCTGTATTTATTTTTGCTCTGATTTTTATTATGTCTCTCCTACTAACTTTGGGTTTCATATGTTCTTTTTCTATATTTTTTAATTGTGAGTTTAGACTGTTTATTTGAAATTGTTCTTGTTTCTTGAGGTAGGCTTGTATTGCTCTGTACTTCCCTCTTAGTACCACTTTTTCAGCATCCCAGAAATTTTGGCCTGTTTAACTTCTTTTTCTCATTTGTCTCTATGTATTGCTTGATTTATTTTAATTTGGTCATTGATCCATTGATTATTTAGAAGCCTGTTGTTTAGCTACCACGTGTTTGCGTGTGTTTTTCTTTTCTTTGTGTAAATTCTAGTTTCATACCACTGTGGTCTGAGAAGTTGCTTGATACAATTTCAATCTTTTAATTTATTGAGGCTCTTACTGTGGCCTAGTATGTGATCTATTCTGGAGAACATTCCATGTACGCTTGAGAAAAGTGTATCCTGCTGCTTTTGGGTGGAATGTTCTGTAGATATATGTTAAGTCCATCTGATCTAATGCATTGTTCAGTGCCTCTGTTTCCTTATTTATTTTCTGTCTGGTTGACATGTCCATTGATGTGAGTTGTGTGTTAAAGTTTCCTAAAGTGGATGTGTTGCAATCTATTTCCCCCTTCAATTCTGTTAGTATTTGTTTAACATATTTAGGTGTTCCTGCATTGGGTGCATAGATATTTATAATGGTTATATCCTCTTGTTGGACTGAGCCCTTTATCATTATCTAATGTCTTTTATCTGTTGTTTCTTTGTTTTGAAATCACTTTGTCTGATATAAGTATGGCTACTCCTGTTTTTTTCCTCCCTATTATATATGTGAAATATCTTTTCCATCCCTTCACTTGTAGTCTATGTATGTCTTTGGGTCTGAAATAAGTCTCTTGTAGGCAGCATATAGATAGGTCTTGTGTCTTTATCCATTCTGCTACTCTATGTCTTTTGATTAGTGCATCCACTTGATTTCAAGTTATTTATAGTTATGTACTTATTGCCATTTAAAAATTTTTTTTCTGGTTGTTTTTGTAGTTCTCTGTTCATAGTACATTCTTGTTTGGTTTTCTTTAGTGTTGTGATTGGATTTCTCTTTGTCAATTTGTTGTATATCTGTTAAAGGCTTTAGGTCTGTGGTTATTTTAAGTTTAAAGGATAGCGTCCTTACTGTATACAACAGTCTGTATTAAGTTGATGATTGCTCTATTTCAAATACAATCTAAAAGTACTTCTTTTTTCTAATCCTCCTCCACACTTTATGTATTAGATGTCTCTGCATGTTTTGCGCACCCCTTGACTAACATTATTATAGTTGGTTTTACTACTTTTGTTTTAATTTTGTACTTCCTTGGTAAGTAATTGGTTTACTACCTTTACTAAGTTTATTTTAACTGGCAAAAACTGTTTGTTTAACCTTAGAAACATTTCCATCTACAGGAGTTCCTTTAACATATCCTGTAATGTTGGTTTAGTGGTTGTAAATTTCTTGAGCCTTCATTTGTCTGGGAATTGTTT